CCCCTTCCTGTCTACCTGACTGCCTGTCTGTCTCTCTACCTGTATGTCTGCCTGTCAGTCCCTGCAGGTTTGCTTTACCCAGCCCTAAGTTGTCACGCACTTGTCGTTGCATTTTCTTCTGTCACGTGAAGCCCAGCAACTGTAGCCCAGAGGCTTTAAAGGGCTGCAACAAAACACACGCACATACATAAACTATAGTCTCATTGTTTACCTGCAGTTTCCATCACCAAGTCACGATGCTAAAAAACACATAACGGTAGCTGTCGCTGCAGAAACTCAAGCTTTTTTGAATACCATGTGGGTTTTTTAATACACTCATACAAACCTTAGTGAGATTTTTTGTGGGAATCTAAGGGAGTTTGTCACCTTGCACACAATAGTCCCTTCAGAGCAGTTGGCTTGATAAGATAGGCGAGCACCCGCCTGATATGGTCTCCACAGCTACAAAGACACACACACGCAAACACACACACACACACACACACACACACACACACACACACACACACACACACACACACACACACACACACACTCACACACACACACACCAGGCTGCTCCAGGTATGACTAACATGGCTAACTCTAAAATGTCACTCCGATACGTCCCCTCAGTAATCAGGTGACCCGCTGATAGTGGTCACATTCAGCCCAGCTTCTCATGAAGAAACAGATTAGAGTCGATCCACAGATAACACACTGTGGCTGTTTGCAGCAGTTAGAGGGGAACCATTTAAGCAACAAAGGGGGAATTAAAAACGTTAGTTTGACCCTTACATTTATAACCTTTCAGTTGAAATCTGTGACCCTCAGCTGACCTAGATTCCAAATGCAAGACTCTTAGGAAATAGATACCGCTGCTGATAAAAGTCTGGATGTCACAAACGGCCACAGAAGCCTCAGCTGAACATAAGGTATTGGTCAAAGTGTATGGCATTAGCCTCGTGGTTTAGTGCAGAAATCACTTTCATACATGTCAAATGTAAATCCTAAAATCAGCAGTTTGCTTATCTTCAGATCAGGTTCAATCCCCACTACAGTCAGCATGTCGCTGTGTCCTTGGGCAAACCCCTCAGTATTGAGTAAGTCGCTTTGGGTAAAAGCATCCAACAACAAGTAATGTAGCACATCTAGATATTAGCTACCTGACTTGTATAGGAAGGACATAATATGTACATCAAAACACAGCGCAAGGATGCTACTCATTACATATGTATCATTACTGCACCACATACACAAAATGGGTCTTAAGTTATACTAAAGGTTGTCAAATCCATATGCACAGTTTAGAGAAACAAATGAGAGGTCATTGATCATTTAAAAAAAGATACAGCTTTAGATGATCAGCTAGTGGCTGGAATGAGCCAAACAGATCTCAAGCACCAGCAATTTGTTTGAAATGAGTCTGGCACGGAGATTCAAAAAAGGAAGTGGACTAGACGTCTTACTAAAATCATGTGTATATGAGCTGACCACAGCATGTGAACATGCCTGTGTCTGTAGTGTACTGTAAAAAATACTGCACAACAGTTTCCCCAAATTATGAAGTATCTGTCGTCTTTGGCTACAGTACGCTGCATTTCAGAGATGGA